AAAGAAAAAAATAAAGTTATTTCTGTTTGCAGATGATATGATCTTATATGCAGAAAACCCTAAAGATTCTACAAAAGAAAAAAAAAGCCTGTTAGAATAAATAAATCTATCAAAGTAGCAGGAGACCAAGGCCTATTGCATTTATATACACCAACAATGAGTGATACAAAAAGGAAATTTGAAAAACAAGTCCATGTACAAAGCATCAAAACGAATAAAATACTTAAGAATTAACTTAACCAAGGAGGTGTAAGTGCCCACCCTCCTCTCGTCCCAGGACTCAGAGACAAGCTGGCGCAGTTGCAGGGTGGAGACAAAGACCCGGCCCTTTGAGCTGGCTGTGCTGGAGCAGGAGGTGAGAGGTTATCACAGAGGCCAGTGGAGCCTTCTGGGCTGAAGGCAGGTGCTCAGGGACCCAGTGAATCAGGACTGACCGCTGCCAGTGGCAATTCTGCTTTGTCCCTTGTCTCCCAGCTGGGCAGGCTCCTACCTACCCCACAGGCCCAAGAGGTCACTGCAGGGTGAAAGCTCTAGAACAGGTGGCTCAGTGAGTAAGGCCTGGCGAGGAGGATAGGACACATTCAGCTGCTGCCCCTGTGTGTCACCTGGTCTATATCATTTTGTGGTGCCAGCTGATGGCACAATGAGAGCAATGGGGGTGAATCAAGGAGGAAGCCAGGCCACAATGGTTGGGTTTCTACTGGGGCTGAGAGATTTTACTGCTAATGAAAATTCTGGGACCTACGGAAACCTGTTTGGCTCAGTGGATAGAGCGTTGGCCTGCGGACTGAAAGATCCCAGGTTCGATTCCGGCCAACGGCATGTACCTTGGTTGCGGGCACATCCCCGGTAGGGGGTGTGCAGGAGGTAGCTGATCTATGTCTCTCTCTCATCATTGTTTCTAGCTCTCTATCCCTCTCCCTTCCTCTCTGTAAAAAATCAATAAAATATATATATTTTTTAAAAGAAAATTCTGGGACCTTTTTAAATTTTCTGCCCTGGCATTAGAAGGCTGGGAGGACCCCTTTTAAAAGGTCAAAGGCAATGATGACAGTGTCATCCTTTGCTTTAGTTCTCAGCTGCTGATTGTGGGATTGGCTCTGCCCGCCTCTCATCTTCTGAGTCATAGAAATTCACGGTCGGTGGCTCCTGCAGTGACCGGAATAGAAACTTCCACTGGTTGAAACAGGAAGGGACAGAAACAGCCTCAGGCCCGGGAGGTGTTAACCAGGCAATGAGGCAGAGATGCAGGTGTGTGAGTGAGAGCCAGAATGTTCTCTTATCTAGCGGACTTAGTGTCCAGGTGGGGGAGAAAACTTTCCTTCTGGGCGTGAAGGCATATGGGGGATCACACACACACACACACACACACACACACACACACGTGTGTGTGACAGTGATGGACCTGGGCGGGTTTTGAGAGCATCTATTAATCTTGCAGTTTACTTCACAGCTGACACTTGACCTGCTGTATCTCATTTAATCCACAATAGCCCTGTGAGAGCAGGATCATGATGGCTATTTATAGGCAGGGCACCAAGGCACAGAAATCAAGTAGTTTGTCTTAAGTTGCACAGTGAATTGATAGCAGAAGTGAGATTTGTTTTTGTTTTTTATTCATTTCAGAGAGAGGAAGAGAGAGGGAGGGATAGAAACATTGATTAAAACATCAACCAGTGCCTCCTGCCTGCCCCCTTCTGGGCATGTGCTCTGTCTGGAAATCAAGCCATGACTTCCTGGTGCATGGGACAATGCTCAACAAATTATTTGAGCCATACTTGTCAAGTGAGATTTTTTTTTCATCCTCACCTGAGAATATGTTTTACTGACTTTAGAAAGAGGGGAACGGCCAAAACCGGTTTGGTTCAGTGGTAGAGCATCGGTCTGCAGACTGAAAGGTCCCAGGTTCGATTCCGGTCAAGGGCATGTACCTGGGTTGCGGACACATCCCCAGTAGGGGGTGTGCAAGAGGCAGCTGGTCGATGTTTCTCTCTCATCGATGTTTCTAGCTTTCTAGCTCTCTCCCTTCCTCTCTGTAAAATATCAATAAAATATATTAAAAAAAGAAAGAAAGAAAGAAAGAGAGGAACGGAGAGAGAGAGAAACATTGATGTAAGATAGAAACATTGATCAGTTGCTCCTATGCACACTCAGACTAGGGAACGAACTGCAACCTAGGTATGTGCCCTGACTGGGGATCAAACCCATAACCTTTTGGTGTATGTGACGATGCCAAATGAGCCACCTTGCCAGAGTCAGAAGGAAGATTTTTATTTTTATTTTTATTTTTATTTTTTTTTAATAAGTTTTTATTGTTCATATTATTACAAATGTTCCTTTCCCCCCACCCACCATTGCTCTCCTCCACCAGGTTCCCATCCCACCCTCTGCCCTTTCCCCTCTCCCCATTGTCCTCATCCATAGGTGCACAGTTTATGTTCAGTCTCTTCCCACGCCCCCCTCTCCCCTTTACCCCAAGAATCGTCAGTTCACTCCCCTTCCATACCTCTGATTCTATTATATTCAACAGTTAATATTGTTCATCAGATTTTTTTAATTTCCTTGGTTTTTAGATTCACTTGTTGATAGTTATGTATTTGTTGTTCATAATTTTTATCTTTGTTTACTTTCTCTTCTGAAAGAACCCCCTTCAGCAATTCATATAATTCTGGTTTGGTGGTGATGAACTCCTTTAGCTTTTTTTTATTAGTGAAGCTCTTTATCTGGCCTTCGATTCTGAGTGATAGCTTTGCTGGGTAGATTATTTTTGGCTGTAGGTTCTTGCTATTCATCACCTTGAATATTTCTTGCCATTCCCTTCTGGCCTGCATGGTTTCTGTTGAGAAGTCAGCTGACAATCGTATAGGTGCTCCTTTGTAGGTTACTACCTTCTTTGCTCTTGCTTCTTTTAATATTCTCTCTTTGTCTTTTGCTCTTGGAATTTTAATAATGATGTGTCTCGGTGTGGTCCTCTTTGGATTCCTTTTGTTTGGAGTTCTGTGCGCTTCCTGGACTTGTAAGTCTAATTCTTTCACCAGGTAGGGGAAGTTTTCTGTCACTATTTCTTTCAGTATGTTTTCCATATCTTGCTCTCTCTCATCTTCTGGGACCCCCATAATTCTGATGTTGGTTCGCTTGAAGTTGTCCCAGAGGTTTCTTACATTATCTTCAATTTTCTGGATTCTCTTGCCTTCTAGCTTCTGTGGAGGAGTGTCTTCTGGCTCTTTATGTTCCAAATCTTTGACTTGATTCTTGCGATCTTCCCTTCTGTTTTTAGGACTCAGTAAAATATTTTTTATTTCAGACAATGTATTCTTTATTTCTTGTTGATCCCTTATCATTTCTTGTTGACTCCTTATTAATTCTAGTTGATCTCTTTTCATATCCTCGTAGCCCTTATCCATCTTTTCTAAGAAATTCTTGAAAAAACTTATAAGCGTAGATTTGAACTCTATATCCAGACGCTTTTTGTCCTCCATTTCTTTCGTTTGTGATCTATTTTGTTGTCGCATTTCTCAGTTACAGATGGGACGGGGTTTCAGGGTGGAGCCTGCAGCTTTGGCTTCTGTCAGCCCCGCCCTATGCGGGTCCTTCAGTGCTCGCTGCTGCCAGCGCCTCTGAGAGAAAGGTGCCCTCGATTTTCGCCTGCTGCCAAACAGTCTATGCTCTCCCACAATGAGCCCGGTATTGGGGTTCAGTTCAGTTGGAAGTGGAGTTGGAGGTGGCGTTCAGAGCAGTCTGGAGCCCCAGTCTCCTTCCCGTCAGGGCGATCCTGCGGCACAGCCGACCGTCCCTTCTCTGCGCGCAATGTGCGCGCCTCCGGGACCTCCTTTCGCCTCTCCCCGGGGTTCCGCCTTACAGCCCGGCTCCCTATGGCTGAGCCTGAGTCCCCGGGGTCTGGCCCAGAACCGGGGATCAGAGCAGTCGGGGGCCCAGCACAGTCGGAGCTTTTCTCTCCTTTCCGCTCAGGAACGCCCGCCAGGCACTCGGCCTCCCTCCTCTCCGGCTCCGTCCTCTCCGCGCGCCGCGTCTCCGCGTCTCCGTACCTTGGCTTTTCCAGCTCTTCCGCACCTCCTTCTGGTTTTCTCCTTGCTTCTCGCTGTAGAATTTCCAGTCAGTCAACCTTCCTGTAGTTCTGGGCAATGTCCGTTTTATATTTTAGTTGTATTTTATTGAAATTGTTGTGTGCGGCTGCGGCTAGGTGTTCACCTGGGCGCAGCCATCTTCAGAAGGAAGATTTTTAACTAAGTCTCAAATTCTCTGTCAGTAATTTGAGGGCTCTCCAATGTCTCTCATTAAATGTCTGTTGTATATTCAACATGAGACTAGAAAGAGGGGAACAATTGTAATAAAATCAGATGTGCAGCCCTGACGCAGTGTGTGGCTGCCTCTGTGGAAGCCAATATACAGTGGAGAAGCCAGAGGCTAATGTTCAGGAGGGCCAGCCGCCTGAATGCGTAGTTCCTTCTGGTGGAAAGGACACCCAAAGCAGAGGGCTGTGACAACTAGGGACTGAGGCAGCCCGGGCAAGCATGTCATCAGCCAGGGCGGGCCCAGGAGGCATGCCACCTTGTTCCTGGCCCAGAGGTGTAACTGTCTCTGTCCACACCTCTAGCTTGCCTCTTGGAGATTGGGGCTATTTGGGGTAGGAAAAAAAATGACATTTCCAGAAGGGAGAGGTCTGAGATCTGGGGTCCCTAACCCCTGCTGTCTGGTTGTACAGCCCACAGGTGTTTCCAGCATGGCAGAACAAAGGGGACAGCAGCCTAGAGCCACACTGTGCCTTCCTTTAATGGGTTTTCCAATGACACGTTCTATATTCTACGTCCACTATTCAAAGAACAAGTGGCATTTCCTCCCTACCCTTTTCTGTCCCACCTTTGCCTCACCATAATCCCGTCCCCAGATGGAACCACTGTGAAAAGTGTGCCTCCTCTCTCCTTCCAAGTATTTCATCTACGCACTTACAAACTTATAGTTTCTTTAAAGAAAAATGTGAGCCCTAACTGGTTTGGCTCAGTGTATAGAGCATCGGCCTACAGACTGAAAGGTCCCAGGTTCGATTCTGGTCAAGAGCATGTATCTTGGTTGCAGGCACATCCCCAGCAGGGGGTGTGCAGGAGGCAGCTGATCGATGTTTCTCTCTCATTGATGTTTCTAACTCTACCCCTTTCCCTTCCTCTCTGTGAAAAATAAATACAATATATTTAAAATAATAATGATAATTACAAAAAGAAAAATGTGAATTATGCTTTGTGTGTTAATCTGCAACTTCCTGTTTTCACCTGCAAAGATGCTCTCCAGGCCAACCCTCTTGTGTTAGCACATGAATGTCTGCTGTCCCTTCCCCTCCTGGCATGGGGTCCCACTGTGAGGACACAGGCCTTGTGTGTCTGGGTGACTTGTTGTGGGCCAAGCGGCTGTGGTCACAAGGCCTTCTGGAGAAGAGGTTGTCCTTTCCCACATGGCTGCTCCCTCTGAACAGTGGTCAGAGATGGGGGACAGAGGGGGAGGAGGTCGTGTCTCAGAGAACCTGGTCGTGCTAGAAGTCTGGTCTCTCTGATGGTGAAGGAGTTTAGAGGAGATGATGGATCTGAGAGGTGATGTTTCTGAAAGGCAAGGCCGAGATTATGGGGTCTGAGTCATCTGCCACGGTACAGTGGCCAGCTCTGCACAGTCAGGGCTGCTCCCCAAACCAGCCAGGCTGGTCAGATGAGGGTCCAGCCCTCCTCCCCACAGGCTGCGGTTGCTGTCCACACTCCTTGGCCGGTGGTTTCCTGCACACCTCTGTGTGCACCTCTCTGAGCCTTCTCCTTTGTCACCCAGGTGAGGCCGAGGCGGGTTTCCTCCCTTCCTGCCAAGGGCTTAGTTGCTCTGAGTCATAGACCAAGACCCAGGGCAGCCAAGAGCTTTCCCTCCACTTCCTTTAGGCCCAGCAGTTGGAAAAACAGGTCTGTTTGTTGGTATAGAAATCAGTTCACCCAAAGGGCGCACTCTGTGTCACGGATGGCAGGCAGTTTAAGGAAACCAATGGAACACAGCCCCTGTGGAGTCTGCAGGTCCCTGGCTTTCCAGAAGCCTCTCTCATTCCTTCTCTCCCTCTCCCCATCTTCTCTTCCTGTCTTTCACTCCTTGCCCTTCCCATGTCCCAGGCCCCGTGCTAAGCACTGGGCACCAACAGATGAATGAGCGAGGTCCTACTTCATGAGAACATTCCATTCTTCTTCTGCACCAAGCTTCTCATCTGCTTGGTTGGGGTTTAGTGTGGTTTTTATATTTCATGCTAATCTGCATCTCCAGGGTCCATGGGCCAACTCAGAGACCCCTGGGCTGGTCTCCGGTCCCTGTGTCTTCTGGCTCTTTTTCAAGAACTTGGCACTGCCTAAGCATTGCAAGGATCGAAGAGACATACCCTGTTTCCCCAAAAATGAGACAGTGTCTTATATTAATTTTTTCTCCTGAAGTTGCGCTAGGTCTTATTTTCAGGGGATGTCTTATCTTTCCATGCTCTAGGTCTTATTTTCGGAGGATGTCTTATTTTCGGGGAAACACGGTAGGCACCTGCAGGACTCTCCTTCCTTCCCCCAGAAGAGAACTCACTCTGGCCTTGGCAAGACCTTGATGGCCCCCACCTGGAATGCTTGCAGGCACACTGGCCTCACCTCCACCAGGCTCCCACACGTGCCTTTTTGTCCAGCCTGGTCACCTGCACTCAGACAGCTTGGCCTGGCTCTTGCTGTCAGAGTGCAGGTGATCAGGCTGGACAGGAAGACACGTGTGGGAGCCTGGTGGTAAAGGTGAGGCCAGCATGCCTGCAAGCATTCCAGGTGGGAGTCATCTTGGAAAATTTGAAGCTGAATGAATGGACAAGTCACTCTGCAGAAACAGGAGCTCAAAGAGGCACTGTCTGTCTCGTCATGAGTTCTAGCAGATCATCTGCAGAGATGACATGGTTGTCTTGATGTGGAAGAATCAGGGAGCATAGCACAATTTTCCCTTCTATGTTTTCTAAGGTTAAGCATATTTTTTCAACACAAAACAGGAATGCTACAGACTAGATAGTGAGAGAGGGCCCAGGGGCACGGTAGGTGGGAGGTTAAAGTTTCCCTTTACTTTCTCAATGGCGGGAAGCAAGTGACTTTTCTAGAAGGTGGGTTCCTGGTCATTCACGAGGGTGAGTTCCTGTGGGGAGGCCTCGGAGGAAGCCCAGGTGGAAGTATGAGTCTGAGAGTAAAGGCCTGGGCCACATCCATTCCAGGCTGTACCTGCTAACATCGGATGTTTACTGGGCAATTGCTTCTGAGTCTAAGAAGCGTGGTGTGTGGCAAAGGCTCTCAGGGGTAAGCGAAACCTCGAAGGAAGGTGCTTCTCAGGGAGCAAGCCAGCCCAGCCCCAGACCTGCCAGGACCACATCCCAGGGATCCCTGGGCCCAGCCCTGCTCTGTGTGTCTAATATTTCCTGGCATTTTGGGCAACTTGGGCCAAATTCTCGGAGTGACTCTCTGGGCAGGGCCTAAGTGCTGGGGTAGAGATGCAGGTTCCGGCCCTCTCTGCGGAAGACAGAAGGAGCCAGATTACTCTCGGCTGAACAGGGGATGACTAAGCTTGAGGCATGCTTTACACCCTGTGAGTTTCGGCTCTTTTCTCCTGAGCCAGCCTGCCTTTGGCCTTTCCAGCTCTGTCCCAGGAGCCATCCTACTCCCCTCGGAGATCAAAAGCTTTCTGGCCTCCAGGTCTCATCTGGGCTGCTCTCTCCCCCTGTCACACCCTTTCTACCTCCTCCAGCAACCCTCTGTCTCCCAGAACTCCCTGCGAGTGTCCACTTCCTTCTAACCTGCATGCCTCCAACCTGTCCCGAGTGCCTCTGACTCTTATTAGGATGTCCTTTCTTGTACTTGCAGGATCCCGGGTGTGGAGCAGTGCCTACAGACAGTGGGGGGTGAGGGGATGGGGGGACCTGGCACAGGCTGATCCTCCCCCAGTTAGCCACTGCTCACTCACTCAAGCGGCACTTCCTTCCATAAGCTCCCTTGACCCAGGCCAAGCCAGGCTGCACTGGTGAATATTCTCCGGACTTCGCCCTCTCTCCTTCTAGCATTAAACCTCATCGCACATTTATTATTTGAATGTATGGCTGATACCTGTCTCCATCAACGAATGATGAGCTTCAAAGATGCAGGGATTGCATGCACCCTGCTCCCATGCTCTCCCTGTTGCCTGGCTCTCACTGAGCTGGTACCGATGGGGACTGAGGACAGGGGCCTCTACCAGGGCTGCATCTTCAGTGCTCCCAATAGGTGCTCATAAATGGGGGCCTCTTCCTCCCCCAACATCAACGTAGAGTGACTGGCCCAGGCCTCACTGCTCAGCATTTGCAGAGATGTGGAAAGTGCCAGTATAGGCCCAGCCCCGGTGTCTACTGACTCTGCATGTGATGTTCCTTTTAGATGGAACTCACTCATCTCAGGGAACCTGGACCTGCAGCCCCTCCCCCTCTGCCCTTATCCCCGAAACACCCAGACTAGGCCAGCATACAGAGTTTGAAGATGACTCGCCTCAGGTGGTGGGGGGTGCCTAGCCTCTCTGGCAACTAGGAAGCACAAACCTAGAGGAGGTTGGGAACAAAAGAAAAAGACCACACGCCGTGGCTCACTGTCACCCGAGGCAGCAGGGTCTAGGTGCCCCATTGGTCCATGAAGGGACTGCTCTCTGAGGAGCAATCAGCACTTCTGGTTTGAAGGGCGTGCATTTTGTGCAGTAGAGACGGAGGCGGTGGGAACGGCAGCCTTCTGAAGTCAAGAGGTCCTATTGCCCTCCCTGTGGTCTGGCACGTCCCTTCCCTGCTCTGGGTGACACCTAGGAGAAAGGCTCTGTGGGACTAAATGGGGTCATGTGGACCAGGTGCCCATGGTGGTGCTGGGCACTTAGAGCTACAGCCAAGGAAGCTGTGCCTGCCGTTAATGCACCTGTCCAGCAGGCGCCCTCATTGCTTAATGTCTTGGATGGAGATTCAGGGCTGTGGTGAATGAAACAAATAAAATCCCTTGGGGTAAATGCTGGCCCACAGTAGCTCTGTGAGCTTGGCCTTCATCCAGCTTCCCCAACCATAAACAGGGAGGATGACCTCTAACCTTCTGTTCCCTGTCAGGATCAGAGCCCTGTGGGCGGGCAGGGATACCTCAGAGAACAAGCCCCGTGCCGTGCTTGAGATGACCAGTAAGGCTGGGTTTGGGCATCTGCCAATGGTCTGCATGGAGCATGGCATTTGATTGGCATTGTCCATCTTTAGCATGGCCTTCTGTGCTTGTAGCTTTGGAGGCAGGCACAGCATCACTCAGGTTCAAGGCTGAGCTCTACCCCCACCAACTCTGTGCCCTTGGGCAGCCTATTAACCTTTTTGAGCCCCATTACCTTGGGTCAAAAAGGAGTCATTCCTCTGGCCTCAAAAGCAAATGATCTGCTGATTCTTGGCATTTCCGGTGCCATGGATCTTTCTCAGAGCAGGTCCCTCTGCCCCATCCCCTCCCACTCATACACAAGTGGGAGGTGACCTTGTCAGCCTTCGAGCTGGCATTACAGTGTAACTTTTACTTTCTACTTTGTAGAAACCCACCCCAGGCCATATTATTATAAGTCCTCACCCAAGGATATGTTTTTTATTGATTTTTAGAGAGAAAGGGGGAGAGAGAAACATTGACCAGTTGCCTCCTGTACCCACAGCTACTGGGGATCAAACCCAAAACCTTTTAGAATACAGGACAGCACTCTGACCAATAGAGCCACCAGCCAGGGCAGGCCATGTTATTATTTTGACAGAAGTCCCAGATCCAGCCAAGACTGACCCCACACTCATACCCACTATGCTGCTAGAAGGACTGAGAATGCTGCAATGACTTATTATTGGCTGGGGCTGGTTTTTCATATTCTCTTGGAAACTGGGGTGTGGTCCTGGACTTCTTGTATGATAAATATGAACCCCCAGCCCTGACTATCTCACAGTCCTTGTAGGCTCCACCAAGACAGGGAGAGGGCAAAA